GCCAGAGGCGGCCTGCACGGTTGGTGTGCAGAGCGCAGCTGTGGAGATGCTGTTTCCTGCAGGCTCCCACAGTAAACGGGCCTGTGCGGCGGCCTCTGATGTGGCCACGGGTGGGGCTCGGGCCCATGCTGGTGCATGGGTGCATGGGTGCCTGGGGCATGCAGGTAGGGACACAGTAGCCACCCGGGCTGCCTCTGTGTTGGGGCACCTGGGCCTGGAGGCTTATCTTCTCCACCCCAGGCGCCTCCTGGGAAGGGTGGGCAAATCCTCCTCAGGGGAGGAGGCTCTGGGGCTGGTGGGGGCCTTGGCCTCTCTCTAGTGAGCAGAACTGGGGCCTTTGGGCCTTTGCCTCACAGTCATCCCAGAACCCTTTACTGGCACAACTTGTGACCTGGGCATTTTGTACTTAAGGCCCCTTCATCTTCTCTGTGATGAGCAGATTTTGTCCCCTTCCAACAGTGCTGCTCGGTAGCTCAGGAAGGCCTTTTGCTGCATTGCCTAACTTTGGCCTTGAGTGGTCCTGTCAGGCCCCCTTTTGCTGCTGAGATGGATCAGACCACCTGCTGGAGGCTGCCGCACCCCCACTATCCAATGAGGGGTTCGTGTGGTGTGTAACCCTACCTGGTCCCTGAGGGTTAAAGTCCATATTTTGCCATTGGAGCAGTTTCCCCCTCCTGCCTACGTGGGTCTTCTGGTTTTGCTGGAAGCGAAAGTCATCGTCCAAATGCCTGTCCCTTAACCAGAGATGTAAATGGATGCCACAGTGTGGTCCGAGACAGGGCCTGCTTGGAGTGGCTTTGGTGGTCCCCCGGGCACACCCCGAAAGGCCTGGGCTCTTCTGTTGGGTGATATGGTGGGAGCTAGAATCTCTGAGCCAGTCAACCTAGCGGTTTCTTTGGTTGGGCCAGTTTGAAAGTTTCTGCAGAACTGGAAGGCTTTACTCAAAATAACAGTGGTTGATTGCTGCCGGCGAAACTGGTTGTTCTTCCATTTACTGCCCAGCAGAACTGAGGCAGCAAGAGAGTCCGGTATTGGGCACGAAGCATGGCCTCACTGCAGCCTTGGCATCAAACGGGGCAGGAGAGAGAACAATCAGGTGTCAACGAACTCCAGGGGTCTTGGGTACCCCCACGTACCTGTCATTTATCTTGGGCTAAAACATCTTCCTGGGGTGTCCGTAGGGTGAAGCCGGAGCCTTTTCCATGATTTGTAAGGCAGATGGGCACGCCACTCAAGCCAGTTTGAAGGCAGACTCCAAACTTGTGTGTTTCCACACGTGTGTGTCCGCATGCACACATGTGTAAGCACGTGCACGTGGTATCCTCCCAAATTAAGGTTTGGGAAGCTCAGTATGGTGATGGAGACATGGGGACATGGGTGGTGACTGGGGCCTAGGATGAGCTGAAGACAGGAAGGGCTGGGAAGCAAGACGAGGCTACCCTGCCGGGTGTCTCAATGGCTTCCTAAAAAGGCCTTTCTGTCCCCCAGTACTAGTCCCTGTGATACCTTCATGGGAGGGGAAAAGAAAAAAAGTATTATTAGCAATTGCTGTTCCATCATATTGACTTCATAGCACCCTTGCAGTGGAGATTTACTTCCGTTCTGTAGGCTGGGGAACCGAGGCACTGGAAGGGTAGGTGTCCACCTGGGGGGGGGCTTCACAGGAAGGGGAAGAGTCAGGGTTAAAAGCAGATGCCTTGTCCCGCCTGCTTACCCACAGCTCCCCTCACTCCCTGGGAGGCCCCTTTCCTTAGTGATAGGGGCTGTGGGGCACCTCCTTTCCCTGCGATAACCTGAGTGACGTTCCTCAGCATAGTGCCCTCCTTGAAAGCTGGGGAGGCCAGATTGTAGGAGAAATATCCTGTTGGGGTTCAGCTATGGGCTCTCTGAAATGTCTGAGCTGCTCTGAGCCTCAGTTTTGTCACCTGCCACTTGTGGGGGTGAGGTGAGGAAGGGAAGTAACAGATACCCACCCGTCTGGGGTCTCTGTAGTCACTGCTCTCTTTTTGACTGATGGCTAGTCTGGGCACTGGACAGCCATCTGGTGAGGCAGGCACAGCAGGACCCTTGGTCCCTGGTGGCTTCTCACTAGCCCCTGGAGGGGTCTGAGGGGACCCCCCCAGCCTCATCCCACCTCGGGGGAGGGGCAGGGCCTGGCATGGCTCTTTATGGCCTGCTCCCTGGGAGGGTTTGTGGTAGGTGGGGTTCAGCCAGAGGCTGTGTAGGCTTCCAGAAAGGGCTTTCTCAGTGTTCTTGGACCAGCAGCTCGGTGCTTATCGCCTGTCCGGAGCTCCTGGTGACCACAGCTTTCCCAGCTAGCAGGTACATCTCCTCCCCTCCTGACTCCAGGCAGCCTAAGAAGCCAATAAGAAGCAGGTGGGGTGGGGTGGGGGTGGGGGTGTCCAGGCTTTGTTCCCACTGATTCAGTCGTTCCACTGGCAGGTCATGGGCACCACTGCAAGTGCCAGATGCTGTGTTGGATGCTGGCGCTTCAGCTGAGTCAGGACCACAGCGGAGGCCTGCACAGTGCTCGGAGCGGGCACAGAGAACCTCACACACTCCTGGGTTCACTTCCTGGCTTAGCCGTCACCGTGCCTGGGGGCAAGTCAGTAAACCTCTTTGAGCTTTGACCTCTGCATCTCTAGAAGGATGCTGATGTATCTCATGAGGCTGCCCTGACAATTAAATGAGACAGTGTGTCGAAAGGATGGGGCACATGCCTGGCAGGGGGTGGGTGGGTACTGGGAGCTGTTCTTAGTATCCTCCCTGTGATTGGTAATGACTTTGCTGCCCTTCTCTGTTATACATCCATCTTCAAGCTCCTGGAGGACAGGGCCTGGGTTCCAGTCCTCTCTTGGCTGCGCATCCCTTTCTTGGCCCTTCCGGGGCCCAGTCTGGCTTTAGCCACGAGGAGCAGCAGGGATGGGACACTCCCGGCCAGGCAGGAGCTGTGTCCAGAGCTGCACGGTCCAGTATGGTAATCATTAGGCACTTGTGGCCATTGACATTTAAATTGCTTAAATTTAAGTAAAATTAGAAAGGCAGCTTCTCAGTCGCACTAGCTACCTGTCAGGTGCTCAGTGGACACACGTGGCTAGTGCCGATCATATTGGACGGTGCGGTTCTTTCCATCTGATGCACGGAAGCTATGCTGACCTGGACGCCACAGCAAGCCTCCAGCTTTCAGGGGGCTGCAGCTCCAAAACATCTCCCGGTTGGCTTGGACAGCCAGCCTCTGCCTCCCGAGTGCTGGGGCAGAAGTTTGTCATTATATGGAAACTGAGTTTCTGAGAGCCCCTTCCACGTTCCGTTTCAGGCGGCCTTGCTCACGTTCCCACCAGGCGGCTGGTTTCCTGGCAGTTCTTATCAGCCCAGTGGGGTGGGAGGGCAGGACTGGGATTGCCCAAACTGGCTGTTGCTTCTTCCCCCACCCTGTTTCTCCAGCTGGTCCTGCCCAGCAGGGAGTCTCAGGGGGATAGTCCTCATTCACAGCTTTGGCCAGGGCCGGGCTGGCCCAGGTGCCCTGGCCCCACTTCCTCCCTGTGGGGCCCCGCCCAGCCCGCAGCCCGCCGCTCCCTCCCCTTGTGTGCCCCCTGCCTTCTGCTCTTCCTGTTTCTCCTCTCCTGGCACCTCTCCTTCCTCTCTCCAGGCCCGACTGGCTTCCTCACCTGGCTGGACCCATTTCCGATCCATCACGATCCATCACGCACAGTGAGCTCTCCTGGAAATGCCCTTTCTCAGACCCCACTTTTGGTGCTCAGCACTCCCCTCTGCGGGCTTCCTCTTGTATTCTCTTGCTCTCTCAGCCAGGCACATGGCAGACATTCTCCGAGGCCCGGCTATGTGTCAGGTCAGCGCTGGGTGCTGGATACACAGAGGGGGACGGGCCACCGGCCTGCCTTGACAGCTTCAGGTTGGTGGCGTGACCAGGTTATTGCATCTGGGCGAGACAGTGCTCAGCCAGAGATGGAGCCAGCCCGGCTTGGGAGAGCTTCTCCAGGAAGAGCTGCTGAGGTTGAAGGGGCCAGTGCTGAGTCTAGGCTGTGGATGAGTCAGGGAGCAGGTCCAGAGGGGGCTGTGTGGCTGGAGGGACAGGAATGGCAGGGAAGGAGGGAGGCGAGGAGGGTGCAAGCACACCCGGCAAGAGGGTATTTAGATTTGTTGGAGGGCATTCTCGACTGGCGCTATTAAACCACATTCCTGGAGGCACAGGATCAAGTTCGTTCCATGCCCCCTAACCCCAGGGCCTGGCATGCAGCGGGCGCTCTGAAGATGGCTGTGGAATGAGTGAGCATTTGCCGAGTGTCCTGTGTGTACGGGGCTGGTGCATGGGGGTCTCTCCCTGCCCTGGAGCCAGACAGGGGAGTCAGAAAACCCCAGCCCCTTCACAGCTGCCAATACTGAGTCCCAGAGATGTGACGGCTCAACCAGGCTAGGCCCGAGAAGGTGGGGAAAGGGGGCAGGGGAGAACCCAGGGCGTGTCCTCTGTGTGTCCTCTAGTCATTGTTCATTCATCTCACAAACCTCTTCTGAACCCCAGCTCCGTACCCAGGAGGCCCCTGTCCAAAGCAAGATGGAGGTGGACAGTTCTGGGAGGAACCCGGCTAGTATTTGCCAGTCCAGCTTTACTGGTTATGAAAATACTGCGATACTCCTGTCCTGGTTGACTAAGAGGTGTTGTCCCAAAGCCCCGCCCCCGGTGTCCCTGCAGACTTGGCCTCTCCCCTGGGCTCCCCTCCCTCCACAGAATCCACGCCCCTACCCTAGGGCTATTTCTAATTGCTTGGTACTGGTTATTGATATTCGCAGTGTCATCTCGTGTATAATGCGTGATGATCTCGATTTGGAGTGTCTGGTGTCCTGTCACTGTTTTGCTCCTGGCTCTGAGCCAGCAGGCAGCCTAGGGCTGAAGCCGTGCCCCTCTGTGTGCCTGGCACCGTCTGAGCCAAGAGCAGAGTCTGTTCAACTGCATTCCCTCCCTCTCTCTCCTGCAGGCAGCCATGAGCACCGACCGTCCCGACCAGGGTGCCCGGCCGCCCCGGAGCCCCTTCCCGCAGCCCCTGTCTCGGAGCTCTTCCAGCCTGTTGGGTGAAGGCCAGGGCCAGAGACCGGAGCTCCGCAAGAGTGCCAGCAGCACCGTATGGCAGGCCCAGCCGGGGGAGGCCGGCGCCGGTCCGCGGGTCCCGGAGGAAGAGGAGCAGCACACTGAGAGTCCGGAGCGGGCACAGGCCTCCAGCCCCCGGCCTCGGCCCCGTGCTGTGGGCCACTGGCGGAGCAGCACTGTGGGCAATGTGTCCACCGTGGGCGGGGGTGACCTGGGTCGCCTGCGGGCCCCCGGTGCCGCTGCCATGCAGAGGAGCCACTCAGACCTGGTCCGGAGCACCCAGACCCGGGGCCGCAGTGGCGCCCATAAGGCCAGCCTTAGCTGCTCGGCCCTCGGCAGCTCACCTGTGCACGGGGCTCGGCTGCAGCCCTGTGGTACTTCTGGCCAGGGAGGCCGGGCCACCGCGGGCCTAGAAGGGGACCTGGCTCCAGAGGAAGGGACGTCAAACTCAGCCTGGACACTGGGAGAGCGTCAGGTGTGGGTGGCACCACTAGACCCGGGAGGGACAACCACCCACAGCAGCAGCCCCCAGGCTGGGCCCAAAGCTGCCGGGGAGCCAGCCACCACCCCTTGCCATGCCCTGTCCCCAGCAACTCTGCACTGCGGTATGAGGGAGGTGGGGACCAGTGGCTGCTGTCATGCCCTGCCAGCCCCAGGGATCCTGGCCTTTCCCAAGCTAGTGGCATCGGTGAGTGAGTCTGGGCTACAGGCTCAGCATGGGGTGAAGTTCCAGTGCAGGTTGCCTGGGGGGCTCCCTGGGCATTCCCACTGCTGTGCCCACCCTTGGGGTCCCACCGGCTTAGCCACGGAGCCTGGCACCAGGACCAAGGATGTATGGACCATGACCTCAGCCAGTGACTTGGCCCCCGTGCTGACATCCTCTCTGTCTGCCCAGGATGCTGGTGTGCAGGCAGCCCCCATGGCGGTCTGCAAGGCTGTGGCCACCAGCCCGCCTCTGGAAGCCCCCATGGCCCTGCACACATTCCCAGAGGTAATTCTGGGGTCCAGCCTGGAGGAGGCGCCATCCCCTGTGCGAGATGTGCGATGGGATGCTGAGGGCATGACCTGGGAGGTGTATGGAGCTGCAGTGGACCCTGAAGTGCTCGGCGTGGCCATCCAGAAGCATCTGGAGATGCAGTTTGAGCAGCTGCAGCGGGCGCCCACCAGCGAGGACAGCCTGTCCGCGGAGGGCCGAAGGGGGCCACTGCGTGCTGTCATACAGTCCCTGCGGCGCCCCAGCTGTTGCGGCTGCTCCAGTGCAGCTCCCGAGTGAGGAGCAGTGGCTCTCAGAGCTATCCCAGGCCCGTGGACTCAGCCCCAGGCCGGGGACAGGAGGGGCCCTGTGCTCCTTGGACCTGCTGGCAGCCGGGGACATGTCTCTGCCATTGGCTGACCGCCGAGCATGGGACTGCAGCCCGGGGGCTTCCTGCCCCTTGCAGCTGGGCTGGTTTTTAAGGGCTTGATTCCCAAGAGCCACGTCTCTGCACACCCAGGCTCTGAACTTTGGGACAGACTTTAAGCACTGTGCGTAAGGGAGATCCTGATTTTTCTGTAAAAATACTCAGCGTTCTGTTTAGTGTATCCTCAGAACTCTGCCATGATTTCCCCTAGGACTCTTGGTGGCTTTATTTTATTTGTTTTAGTTTTTTTAATTAAAAAATTTTTTTCTTTCATAGTTTGTTGTCAAGTTGGTTTCCTTATAACACCCAGTTTGATGGCTTTATTTATTTACTTATTTTTTTAATGTTTTATTTATTTCTAGGAGAGAGAGAGAGAGAGACAGCGTGAGCAGGTGAGGGTCAGAGAGAGAGGGAGTCACAGACTGAAACGGGCTCCAGGCTCTGAGCTGGCAGTCAGCACAGAGCCTGACGCGGGGCTCGAACCCACAAACTGCGAGATCATGACCTAAGCGAAAGTCGGACGCTTAACCGACTAAGCCACCCAGGCGCCCCTGATGGCTTTATTTTAAAGTAGGGCTGAGATATAACCAATTCCTGACATGAAAAGTGGGGCCCCACGTGACAGGGACTGGCTGCGTCTTTGGGGAAGGCCACTGACACTGTTGAACACCTCCTCTGTGCCACACACTGTGCTTGTCACCTTCCCTTGCTGAGTTTTCACCCATGTGCCCCGTTTTATGGATGAAACCACAGGCGTTAGGCAAGGGCATGGCTGACATGCCCGGTTGGACGGCTGGAGGTGGGCTGGGGTTCAGGGCCAGGGCTGGCCGAAGCCTGGGCTGCTTCCCCGCAGCACGTGGTGATCAGTGCAGCGCAGTCATGAGCCAGAAGAATTTACTGAGTTCGTGTCCTGTGCTAGGTTCTGTGGAATCCTCGGGGAATGAGATGGGCCATCTGCACCCTCACTGAGTTGACAGGGTGTGGGAGGCGGGGTATACATCCATACTGGGGCACCGGGCATCCCAGAAGGGCCCGGGGCTGCTGCTAAGAGCCAGCCCCCTTGTTGGTCACTGGGTCAGGGGCTGGCCTCAGGAAGGGGAGTTTGGTGGATTGTCCCAGGAGCTTGGGATCTTCAAGGCTAAGCCCCAGAATGAGGACATAAGCCCGCTCCCAAACTCCACACGTTGAGAGGTCCTTGGGCAATGAAGTCAGACTGGCCCAAGCCTATGCCCTGGGCTCCCCCACCCCATGATCCCAGCCACCCATGTCTATCCCTCATCAGCTCACATGGGCAGCACTGGGAGAACAGGCTCACAGGCCTTTCAGCTCCCCACGGCCTCCCAGCTCTGGCCCTTTCCCACCAGGTGAAAAACCCCGCCCCAGGCTCCTTGCCCTTCCCCATCTGTTTCTGCCTTCCCTCCTTCCAAGAACCGCATGCTTAAAAGATGACAGCACATCAGAACTGCTTCTGAGGGTGAGGCTGGGTCAGAGGGGGGACGGTGTGGCGAGCGGGAGGGGACTTGACCCCACTTCCCTTTTACAAATGTGCACAAGCAGGTTTTCATGCATGCATTGGCTCTGGGTACTGTGCAGCCCTTCTGTGCCTCTGTGGGTTCTACAGGGGAGGCCCATCACACCCTGGGCAATGACACGTGGCTACCAGGCTGCGCTCCTGCCTGGCACTGCACAAGGGCTCTGGGAGCCCCAACTGCGGGGACATGAAGCGACAGGTGATGATGATCTGGAGTGGGGAGGGCACCAGCACACAAGGCCACAGCTGAACGGGGTCTGGAGGACACAGTGAGGCTAGATAGGTGGACAGTGGGGAAGGGCCTGCCAGGCAGACAGGACAGCCTGATCAGAGGCATGGAGGTCCCCACTGTGGTGGCACTGTGGTGAGTCTCTGCAGGGCAGGTTGAGTTGGGGTGTTTGTGGGTTGGGAGGCGGTAAAGGGTCCCCACGGTGAGGTCCTGGGGTGCCTGAGGAAAAGGACTTCAGGGGAGCTGCGGAAAGGGTGATGGGGCCTGATTTCATTTTAGAAACATCCCTTTGGCTGCCATTGGAGAGATTAGCGTGGAAGAGGTGGGAGGCTGGGGCCCAGGGGGAAGTGGGTGTGTGCGCCAAGGAAGGGCCTGTCATGGGGAGATGGAAAGGGAGGTGGGTTGTGTGTGTGCACACACAGGTGCACACAGGGCCTGCAGCAGATTCAGAAAGGAGGGGGAGTTTTAGGAGGCTGAGCTTTCCAGTTTGAGCAAAAGGAGGTGAGGCCACGACCCGCGACAAGGAGACACAGGTGAAGGGCCACATGCCAGGATATTTGGCTGGGACCAGCGAAACCCTTACAGACTCTCTCTGTCACATGCAAATTCCTTTGAGTTCATTCTCTGTTTGGCTGCTGTGTGCCAATCAGTGCCCCTTCCTAGCTGTACCGGGATGGCAGGCTGGGCTGGGCCCGAGTGGGGAGGGCTAGCCTGTCCTTCCACCCATCTCATCATGACCGAGATAAATGTTTGCAAGGTGGTGCTGGAATCCAGTCTGGCCTGTGTCCAGCCTTGGGGCTGTGCATGGCTGGGGACCCCATCCTACCTTCCTGGTTAGGCTTGCTGCCCTGGCTGTGGCCCCAAGCTAGACTGCACAGCCTCGGCCAGTGGATTCACCTGGAGTGGCTACAGCTTAGTTTCTGAGTTTGACCTGGAGAACACCCCCCACCCCCATCCCCTTGCTGTGGCCCCTCCCAGGCCATGCCTGACCAGCAGTGGTTTAGGGTCTCAAGCCATGGCCACCAGCTTAGTTTACAGATCTCCTCTCAGACTCCAGATTTCTGACTTTCTGGGTCCCCTTCAGGTCCTGCTCAGGGAAGTGATGGATTTCATTATTTGTACATTTGTTTTGTTTTGAATTTGGAATAAAGTATTGGAGAGAGCTTTGCTAGGGAAGGGTCCATGGTTCTGGCTGGTCTTGGTTTTTTTTCTGACAGATTTTGTCCTTCGGAGCATCCGCCCTAGATGCTGAGCTCCCGTGTCAGGCAGCAGCCCCCCTCCTTCTCAGGGACTCCTCATTTCTGTCCACTCTCTTCCTGACAGCCTTCTGGGCCCCCAACAGCTAAAGCCCGGATTCCTGGAGCTTATCACCTCTGGGTGTGGCAGGACACAGAACATGCATCTTTTGCCAAGCCCCAGGGCTGATACCCTCACGGAGAATCAGTCATCCACCCTGAGGGAGAAGCCGTTGCTGCCAGAGTATAGGTTATGACCCACCTGAGGTCACGATGTATATGGGGGTGTATGGGGCACGGGGCTGGAAAAGCAGAGAATGGTCCTGTCCCACTGTGACATCACCTCCTGTGTCAGCTGGATTGGGTCTCTGTCCCCAGAAGTGCTGGATTCTTATCTAACAGGGGGCACATAGGGCCTTCCCAGTGCAGATCCTGACACTTTGGGCATTGTGGGAGGCACTACAGCTTAGCAGTCTACAATTTGAGTTTGAATCCTAGATCTCATCCATAGCCATGTTGGGCAAGTTACTGATCTCACCGATCCTCGACTTCCTCACCATGACCTGATAATCGTGCCTCCTTCTTCAGTTTGCTCTGAGGAGTACATGGAATGACCCACGTATAGCACTTGACACCGAGTTGGCACTCACCACGTGTGCCAGTGTTCCTTTGGCCTACTTCCGTGGCCACAGGAAGGGGCTAGCTCTTGCCTGGTCAACTTGGCTCTGATCAAGGTCCACATCCCACCTTCTTGGCCACTCCTCATTTAGAGCCTCCTTCAAGGTTCTTTACCCTGTGCTTCATTCCCTGCTTAGGACACATGTACTCTGACCTTGGCCTTCTGAACCTGTGGTTCCTGGAGCCATGCTGAGGAGGCTATTCTGGGGCTGGGCTCCCAGAAGCTCATGTTAGGAGGAGGATTCTGGATTGACTAAGGAAAAGGGAGCGGGGAGTGCAAGCCAACAAGGGTGTGATTTCAGGTAGAGTCCTGGCCTTCACCAGGTCCCACAGGGGAGCCCTGAGGTAGATTTTACCTGTCTGCCCCTGGGGCCAGGGGTCTGGGCTGTGTGTGGGTAGTTCCAAGCATCCTGGCTGTGGGAGGCAGGCTATGAAGCTCCAGGAGCCCCGGGGCAGGTCTCTGCATGGGGTTGTAGGCCCTATCCCAGGGGAGGGGGGCACAGAAAACAAGGGTGTCCGTGGGGTCTTGGGGACACACCCATCCACAGTTGCATTCATGCCCTGAGCAGCCCTCTTACCCGGTAGACATGTGTGGAGTTCACGGCCTGCAGGTGCCCAGACCTTCTCTCCGTGAGCTGCTCTGAAACCATTATCTCATTTGTGTTCATACCGGCTGACCTTGGTCACTCAAGTGCAGAGCTTTGTTCTTGCCCATGCTAAATTCCTTCTTGGTCGTCATTCTGGCCTGGCCCAGTTTGGTCATCTGAAGCTATGAATAGTCCTTTATCAGTTTCCATCCAACTTATCAGGCAGAACAGGTCCACACAGAGCCTACAGCCTGTCACTGGGTCATCCTGTAGGTCAGCATTGGTCCCCACGTCCCTATGAATCAACAGTCGTCATGGGCAAATTCGTTTAAGGCGAATTTGAGCAAATCGGGTCTTCAATATCAGTAGCTCTCTTTCTGACCCAAGTCCTGGTGCAGGGACCCTCCCATTCAAACAAGGAAGCGGGGGGGGGGTCGGTGTCTGGGGGTTTGACTGGAGTCCTTTCTCTGCATAGCTGGTTCTGGTGATCTCTGCTTCCCTTTCTAAGATCTTCTGTTTAACAAGCTGATCTAGAAGTTTGAGATCTGCAGCAAGCTAAGATCCACAGACTCTCCCTTGTAAACTTTTTGGAGATTGGAAGCTGCCCCACTCTGTGTTGGCACACCTCCTCTTCATCTTCACCTGGGCACATCAGGGCTCACCCGCGAGGTTCCTGGAGGTGGTTGTGAGGAGCATGACACTCATCACAGCTGGCCTCTAGCACCTTCCTCATTGGGTCTTTCCTTGGGGCTGCTCACCCTTTTATGGAAAGAGCCTCTCCAAAGCTGGACAGTGGTCTCCCTAATGGATTGGGAGAATATGGGGCTAGTTCTATTGCTGTGGTTACATAGAGATAATAAGCCATGAAAAATATCCCAGAAAAGCCAATGTTTGTTAAAGAAACCCAAACCAAATCAGAGTTGCATTGGTCTTTAGGATTGGAGGTGGACA